TCATAGTTCCCAATACCAATACCCACATCAATACCAGTATCACTATTCACATACATGTATATATGTATGCGCACACTCATATACACATATGCTTATGTACATGCAGCTACATGTATATGCATGTCTATGTATATTTGTCACTCTGTAACTGTGTATGTACATGTACATATACACGGATGTGTATTTGTACATGTATGTGCATATGCATCGTTTCATGTAGGTATATATGTATGCATGCATGCATGTATGTATGTGTGCATGTATGTAGGCATGTATTTATGTATGCATATGTGTATACATGTATGTATGTTTGTGTTATATATATATATATATATATATATATATTATATATATATATATATATATATATATATATATATATATATTCGGCCACAGTAGTCCCGACCCCTTCCCCGGGGGCTGGTTTTTCGTCCCAGCTCCACACGCTGATGGCCCCCAGCCGCCCGCCCACGGGCCCCCGGAGAGGCCGACGTCCAGGAACACCCGCCGCACATCCTCCTCTATCCTCCTCCTCGTATCCTCATCCTATCCTCCTCGTCCTTGTATCCTCCTCCTCCTCCTCCTCCTCCTCCAGACCGCTCCCGGGTCCGGGAGCTCGCTGCCCTGCCCCAGGCGGCCGCCGACGCCGAGGTCCGCGGCCGCGGGGAGGCGAAGGACGCGGCCGTGGAGCCGCCGGCCGGCGCCGCGGATGCCCCCATGAGGAAGGCGATCAAGGGCAGCGTCTCGCCGTGGGGGAAGCCGAGACATCCTAAACCTCGAAGGCATCGGGGCGGCGCGCTCTTTTCCCGAACTTTTCGGCTTCTGGGGGCCCTCCGTGGGCCTCGGGACCGTCGAAAACCGACTCGGGATGAAACACTGGTTCCCGGGAAGTGGTCGAGAGGTCAGGGGCCTGTGTTTCGAAAAAATCGAGACGCTGGATGTCTGGGAACGGGTTCTGAGGGAAACGGGTCCAGAGGTTTGTCGCCGTTTTCGGGCTCTCGGGGCCCTCCATGGGCCTGGGACTGTTAAGAAAACGACGCAGCATGAACAAGTGGTCCTAGGGGAAGCCCCGGGGCCCAGGACCCGTTTCTCTCAGGACCCGCTTCCCCCCTGCTAAAACGTCAGAGGGGGGGGACTCGCCCAGGGGGGGAAGGAATCCCTGCGGCGAGGAAAGGGGGAACCGAAAAGGAGAAGGCCTGCTCAGAAGGCGGCGGGACTTCTCAGAAGCCTCCCGCGCCTTCGGAAAGGTCTCCGGGGTCTTCGCGGAAGGCCCGGAGCACTTCTCGGAAGGCCCGCGGCCCTCCGAGCCGCCTGAGGAGGCCCGCCCCTTCTCACTGCACCTCTGGGCTTGCCGCCGAGCATCGGCCCGCAGGTGCCCAGATTCATCGCCGACGGGGGGCCCGTCCATCGGCCCGCCACGCCGCCCAGGAGCGTGCGGCCTCGCTTTCGGAGCGCGCGGTGCCGCCCAGCCCAGGAGCGTGCGGTCGCAGATCCGTCGGCGATGTCTCGCTGATTCCGGGTCGATGTTTCTCCCCCCTGAGCTTGTGGAGGAGGAGGAGGAGGAGGACGAGGACGATGAGGATGAGGATGATGATGATGCTGATGATGATGCTGCTGATGATGATGATGCTGCTGATGATGATGATGACGATGATGATGATGATGACGATGATGATGCTGATGATGATGATGATGATGATGATGATCATGATGATGCTGCTGATGATGATGATGGTGGTGGTGGTGGTGATGATGATGATGATGCTGCTGCTGATGATGATGATGATGGTGTTGGTGGTGGTGGTGGTGATGAGGATGATGATGAGGAGGAGGAGGAGGAGGAGGAGGAGCAGGAGCAGGAGGAGGCGGAGGAGGAGGAAGAGGAGGAGGAGGAGGAGGACGAGGACGATGAGGGTGAGGATGATGATGATGATGATGATGATGCTGATGCTGATGATGCTGATGCTGCTGATGATGATGCTGCTGCTGATGATGATGACGATGCTGCTGATGATGATGACGATGATGATGATGATGATGATGATGATGATGATGATGATGATGATGGTGATGGTGAAGGCGATGATGATCCTGATGATGATGCTGTGATGATGATGATGATGATGATGATGAGAAGGAGGATGATGATGCTGCTCATGATGATGATGATGATGATGATGAGGATGATGATGATGATGGTGAAGGTGATGATGATGGTGATGGTGAAGGTGATGATGATGGTGATGCTGCTGCTGATGATGCTGCTGCTGATGATGATGATGTTGATGATGATGCTGATGATGAAGATGATAATGATGATGATGATGATGATGATGATGATGATGATGATGATGATGATGATGATGATGATGATGATGATGATGATGATGATGATGATGATGATGATGATGATGATGATGATGATGATGATGATGATGATGATGATGATGATGATGATGGATGATGATGATGATGATGATGATGTTGATGCTGATGCTGA